CAGAAACGGCTGTATAATACAGTAAACCGTTACGAGTAGTGTATCGATCTGATGCAGATCGATACGCAGGCGACAATCGTTTCAACGATTCTCGGGATGGTTGGGAGAGATGTGTCAACAACTTCACAATCTCACCATCTTGGGCGTATGCCCGCCTCACATCATCATACAACGTTGTAGATGGGACTGAGGACGTCATAACCGCAACAGTGACTGTCTCACTGTTGGGTTTCGCGACTGTTTCAAAGTCGGGACGACGTGAGAGTGCATCAGCGACGACATTAAGTCGTCCTGGTTTGTACTCGACCGTAAAGTTGTATTCTGCAAAGAATGACAACCACCGCGCCATTCGTTGTGAAAGGTGCGGGCTGTTCACTGCCGTGCGTAATGACGCATGGTCAGTGTAAACAATGAAGGGTCTATCTCCTAATAGATAGACTCTGAACTTCGCGAGTGCATACTTCATGGCAAGGAGTTCCTTGTCATGCACTGGATAGTTCCGCTCAGCTGGTTGCAGCTGACGCGACTGATAGCAGACGACGCGTTCAACGCCTTCAAGATCGTACTGCATTAATGCACAGCCGATTGCGAAATCGCTGGAATCACAGACCACATGAAATGGCCTGTCCTGATCGGCTATTGCTAGGACTGGGGATTGTATCAAGCTCTGCTTGATACCCTCAAAGAGCGCTGACATTCAGCGTTCCATAACCACCTCTCGTTCTTTTTCAACAAACGAGAGAGGTGCACAGTCATCTCGGCGTAATTGCGTGAATACTTATGCAAATACGCCGCTAGCCCAAGGAATTTTCGAAGACCTTTGACATCAACCGGCACAGGCCAGTCGGTGATCGCCTTGATCTTTTCGGGATCAGGACGTACACCGTTCTTACCAACGATGCACCCAAGAAGTGGTATTTCGCTTGCTGCAAATATACACTTCTTGAGGTTAGCATACAATTGATGCTTTCGCATGATTGTAAGAACTTGTCGGACGTGGTACCTGTGAACCTCAACGTCCGACTTTCCATCCATAGCTCGACTATGGATGAATACGTCATCGAAATAACTCGGCGCGAATTCTCGTACTGGTCTCAACAGATGTGATACACATCTGTTGAACGTGGCAGGGGCATTACTAAGCCCTTGTGGCATTACTAGCCATTCCCAGAGCATGCCGCTAGGCGTGCTAACTGCGGTATAGGGTATATCCCGTTCCCGCATAAGGATTTGATAGAAGCCATCCATCAAATCCATGGACGAAAAGATGGTACTCTTTAACATACCATCAATGATTACGTCCTTCCTCGGTATCGGCGTCTGAGCCGGTACCGTTGCAGCGTTCAATTTGTTGAACGCGTGCACTATCCGCCACCCTCCTGTTGCTTTTCGCACACAGAAGGTCGGAGAGCTATGTGGGGAAGTTGATTCCCTCACATGGCCCGCAGCTAAACGATCGGCAAAGAACTTGTCGATCGCAAGTACTTGTTCACGAGGCAGTGGCCACTGCTTCATGACACAGTACTTCGAGCCTGGTTTAAGCTCGACCTCGTGTCGAATACCTTTATCCTTCGGTAATTCGCACGGAACAGTTTCAGGGAATACTTCCTTGAATTCAACCAAATCTTCATAGAGAGGATTTTTCTTGAGCGATTCCCATGATTGGGAGTCATATCGCTCAATTCGTGTCTTTTCATCTAGGACACTCTCGTCCATAGATGAACTACTGAGAACTCTCTCGTTCTCAGTAAACACTGTTGCTGACCTTATGTCGGTTACACACTCGTCGTCAGCGACGAGTATGCAGATCTGCTTGACTTTGCCACTACGCAGATCACGCAAGAACCTTTTATGTTCGAGCGTTGGCAACTGAGTGATCTCCGAAGTCAACTTCGGAGGCGCAATCAGATCAAGTGTATAAGCGCCTACACTTGATCCGTTATTGACTATGACATTCAATGTCTCTGTCATTTCCTGGGGACTTATTCCCTCAGGCTTCGAAGGACTTATTCCTTCGGCTTCCCGGGGACTTATTCCCGCGGGTTTCGGGGAACTTATTTCCGCCTTATTTGTAATCTTGGGACTTATTCCCTTTACTTCCTCTAGCTGGGGTTGCGCAACCACAGCGAGATCCTCTACGAAAGACTCTCCAGTCGATCTAGGATTATCGTTTCGCTTAACCTGAGCGATCGATTGTTTCTCTTCTAGATGTTCCCCGCTAGGGATACATCTTTGTCCCAGTCCACCCGACTTATTCGAGTGGTGGACCTTCGGCGCAGCCTGAGTTTCCTCACAGCCGCCGGAACTTTGCTCCGAAGTGTAACCGTTTGGTACACTAAGGTTTTGTGCAGTCGTACTAACGACCGTACCACAAGTGAGGCCATCGCACTCACTCGTAGTACATCCACACGCTTGTGGACGCTCCAAAACGTTCATCAGATGGCCATCTGATGAACAAGCGGCAGGCATTGTTACTGTTCGATGCTGCCAGTTTACCCGTGGTTCGTACCTTCTGAGCCACGGTATTCCAAGGATGACATCAAATTTGTCATCCAAATCCAATACGATAAAGTCATCGTCATATTGGGTATCTTCTAGCGTATAGTGGATCTTCACTATACGCTTCATGACGGTTACGGATGCGCCTGTCGCAAGACGTACCGTCATCCTCGTAGGAGGTGTGTCACATTCACTGAATTTAAAGTGACCATCTTCTAGCGATTGGCGTCGCACAAAATTGTTGGACGCCCCACAATCGACTAGAGCTCGAAGGGACAACTTATTCGTCACTTCGAGGTTTCAAGGTAATGAGTGAGACCTCATTACCTAGAGCAGCAACGCACAACGTTTGTGTGTTGGGAGCAACCTTCATCAAGAGGCCTACAAATTCTCTTGACGTTGCTGGATCAGTAGGGTGCTCCGCACCTACTGATCCTGTCCGTTTTTTGACGGTCCATCCCGTTGTTGCGTCTTTGCACCAACTGCGGACCCTCGTCCCTGCCCCTTTCTCATGGGTGGACGGTCACTACGCCCAGTATCGCGAGACACTGGACGAGGGGCACTACACTCGTAAGCGTAGTGTCCTGTCTTTTGACATCTGTTGCATTTCTGCAACTTCTTGTAGTCTGTAGAGCGAGCCTTCTCGCTCTCTACATAACAGAGTTCCATCGGCTTTGGGAATCCGCTGTCATATCGTCTTGGTTGACGATATGATGTCGAGCTGGCGCGAGCCTGTCTCAGACTGAAGTCTTCCTGCTCCGCAATGGAAATGGCTTGTTCTAGTGAATCTAGTTCAAGCCGGAACAGGTGAGTCTTGACGGGACCATCCGCAAGACCCTGCATGAACACCGAAACCAACGTGTGTTCATCCACCGGATTGGAACTTATACAACTCGTGAGATGTCGTATATGTTGAGCGTAAGCGTGCACATCACGATTACCCTGCTTGAACTTCAAGAGTTCGGTTCGAGCCCTGAACTCAGCTCTAGGCGGTTCAAACGTTTTTCTGAGCCGCGACTTGAAGACTTCCAACGACCCAAACGCATATGGGTCGTGCAACTTGAGCCCCAGTGCCCAAGTCTTGGCACGTCCTGCCAGGTTTGCCTGGGCAAATGCAACTTGCATATCCCCGTAGTCGATGCGACGCGCCCTTATGGCGTCATCCAATTCGACGAACCATCTCAAGAGGGAGTCTTCTTCGACCCCCCTATACTTGGAGATGTCAATCTTCAAGGTTTCGGGTCGACGCGAGTGCATCGACCCACCAGCAGCAGCCTGCTGCTGTCTCAACAGTTCAAACTGTTCAGCACCCTGTTCTCTCAACAACTCTGCTTGTTGAGAACCTTGTTGGTGAAGCAAGGCTACTTTCTCGCGTTCTGCGTCAAGTTCATTTTGAATGAACTTGGCGATAGTAGCATGTTGGGCATCTCTATTGAGAGCCTCTAGCATGACGCTAACAGCATGGATGCCCATGGTCGAACCCATTCGTTCAACCGCATCCCATTCGACATCGCTCAAATGGGAGTAGCCGTCACGCGTAGCGTGAAAGCTTTGGTCATCTTCATCATCCAACATATTCATGTTGGATGTGAACGCGGTCCTTGGACGGACTACGAAGTGCTACCAGGTGTAACGGGGCACCCTGAAGCTTGTACTGGTGACAGTACAAGCTACTTATTCTGATGACAGAATAAGGCGGTGCCTCGTAACTTCACGTACACTCGTACGTGCAGAGGAAGACGGTAAGAAGAAGCGAGTACTTGGTTAGAGTAAAAAGTAGAACTGTATTTATAATAGTTAATGTCTGCAATAAATCACTATTTATCTTCATCTAACTATGGCTAAATACAAATGTGTAAATCAGTTATCTGCTCACCACTCATTGCGTGCGTCTGTCGTGGCGCGTCTTCGTTGGTTGATATAATGGCCTATATCAACCAATTAGGAACTACTCGTAAGTGCTACAGAATATTTGTCCTTATGACAATATTCTGAGAATATAACTCTTATAGTTATATTCTATTAACAATTTCTTATAAATTGTTATGTAACGATTCACCCCGTTACAGTGCATGTCGGTGGTAGTGGTCAATACGTCAATATATATCTCAGCTCGCAAGTATCATTAGAGTACGCAAGTACTAGCACAGACAGCAGCGAAAAGTCGACTGCTGAGTTGGAGAACTCCGGCACGCATAAAGCTTTAGAGCAGACTGTTAGAAGTCAATACACAAAGGTAGAGACAGAGGACACACAATTAAATGCAAAAGAGAGAGTGTTATTAGTTTTGTTATCTCCTGGCTAGCTATCAAATCCTTTCTGCAGAAGAAATCATAAAATGAAACTCCCACAGTTGCTCGGCGCAAAGATGATATCAAAAGTGATACTGGTACCACTTTCTTGGTACATCAACTTGAAGCTTGCCTTTCAACACTCCTCCTCGTCGACACTGTCCTGACAAAACACTTGATCCTTGCTCTGTCATCGTCGACTCCGATCGATTATTTTAAACCGATCACTTGACGCATCTCGACCAATCTCGGTGCAGCCAATGCCTTCGTTAGTATGTCCGCAGGCATACTCGAAGTTTCTCGATATTCAGGCTTTATGATTCCTCGCTTCGCGAAATCACCGACAAACTTGATGCGCACATCAATGTGTTTGGCCTTAGCCGAAGCTCTCTCACCGTCAAGTTGTTTCAAAGCCGCTTGATTATCCACTCGCAGTGGTATAGGCTCTTCAAATCTCAAATCTAACTCTTGCAACAGTTCGCGAATGCCCAAAAGTTCTCGAGCCATAATGGATGCAGCTGTAAACTCAGCCTCCATGGTCGAAAGTGATACACCGCCTTGCTTCTTGCACATCCAGCTCACTGGCATGCCATCAATCGTAATTAAACCACCCGTGACAGATTTTCTGTCACCTTTGTCGGCAGCGAAATCCGCATCACTGTACCCAACCACTTGTAACAGCTCTGGTTCATCTTCTCTTCCAATCATAGAAAGTCGCAATGTCTTCGTGCCAGATAGGTACCTTGCAATTTTCTTGGCCAACTTATAATCTCCCATCGTGGGCTTATGAGTCCTTCTTGACGCTTTATGCACCGCGAAAGCGATATCTGGTCTGGTGCAACGCGAAATCCATAGTAAACTTCCCACAAGTGACTGGAAAACTTTCACCGTAACCACACCATCTCCTCCAAATACCGGTAACGGCACAGCTACCGATTCTTCATTATCGTTCCAGTCTTGAGTAATTGGAACACGCACGCTATGTCCCATTTCGAGACCATGCTCCTTCAGCATGTCCATAATTCCAACTTCTTGATCAAAAGTGTACCCATTTTCGTCATTGTATTGAATACGCATACCCAAAAACTTGCGAGCACATCCAAGATCCTTGACCGATAGTGAATTGAGCTCATCAAAAAAGAATTCACAGAACCCTGATCACTTCCTGTTACCAGAAGGTCATCCACGTAAACTCCAACAATCAATAGATGACCATGTGTCCATCTAAAGTAGACACACATGTCCGTGAGACTTTGTTTGAAACCAATATCAACCAATTTCTGGTGTAGCAATTTACTCCATAGTCTTCCTGCTTGTTTTAATCCATATAGTGCCTTCTTCAGCTCCAAAACAATCTCGTTGTTCTGTGAAACACCGATCTTCTTCTTTAAGTCCTCTGCAATCTGCATTCCCTGTGGTACGTGGATGTAGATATCGAGATTATCTTCCTTGTCTGCTTTAACGTAAGCATTTGGAACATCTCCATGCTTCGCAGGCACCTTCCACTTTCTTGCCAGTGCGAAAATCATCTTCACGCTGGACATATCAATCACAGCAGCAAACGTAACTCCATAGTTCACTCCAAAGACTTGTTCATTTCCACACGCGACCAATCTCGCCTTCAATCTCTCGATGCCACCTTCTGCGTCACGCTTCGTCTTAAAAACCCACTTCGAGTGAAGTGCTTCAATATCTTTTGGAGCCTTCACAATACTCCAAACTCCATTGTTCTCCAAGGCTTGCAATTCTTCAGAAATTGCCTTCATCCATCCTTCCTTGTGACTGCTACGCATAGCTTCACCAAAGTTTCTCGGGTCAGATGTTGTGACAACATTGACAACGTCAGTATCCATGGCTGAACTCTCAGTTCTTTGTCCCTGGCTTGAGCGTTTATTCTTGCTCGCCGATCTTGTCACAACCTTCTTCTTTCTTGCCCACGGAGTCCTTTTCTCCATATTCTGTGTCTGGTCCTTACGACTCGTCGCCTCCTCCAGATCTTGATATCTGGTATTACCTCCCTCCTGAACTTGATCTCGCGCGGAGTCATTATCTTCCAGACTAGTAGGATTCTGCAGATACAATTCTTGAACTTGCTTGTTCTGGGTCTTGTTCAGTGTCTCAATATTTTGAACATGCTGCGAGACAACAACCACTTTATCCTTCGGCAGGTATACACGATACCCTTTGGTTTCTTCACCAATGCCAATGATAATCCCTTTTTGTCCTCTAGGAGCAAAATTCTTCTTCTTAGGATCTCTGTTCACTGTACATGGTGATCCAAAAACGACAATTTCACCTAGCGACGGGGTCTGGTCCGTCAGCACCTTCATCGGTGACATTCGCTCAGCATTCGAATTTGTAGGGGCCCGGTTCAAAATATAAGCAGCATATTCAACCGCGTCACCCCAGAAATTGAGTGGCAATCCTGACGCAAATATCATGCAACGGGCCATATTCATGATGGTCCGATGCATGCGCTCAGCCTTTCCATTGCTGGCTTGGTTTCTTGCTTCACTTCGCTGTCTTGCAACGCCCGACTTCTTGCAGAATAAATCTACATTCTGGTACTCTCCTCCTGAGTCCGTGCGAAGAACGTGCACACGACAATTAAATTTTTTCTCGAAAAAAATCAGAAAATCTTTAAATTTCTTTGCTGCAGCGTCTTTAGTGCGAGCAAGAAATACACGACAATAATTGCTCTTATGATCAACGAAGTTGATCATATAGCGATTATTTAGCCGATCCTTTGGAGTCATCGGGCCCTTGATGTCCGAACAAATAACACCTCCAACCCTGTCAATAGGTGAGTGTTGCCCAGAGTCGTGCCTTTGCTGTTTGTTCTTGGTCTGTTTGCCTTGTGAGCAAGTGTAACAAAAGTCGCGACGCTTGTCCGTAAGCAAAAAATCACAATAAGGATCTTTAGCCAATTTTATTATCGTGTCGTAGTTTAAATGGCCAAAACGCTTGTGAAAGTCCATTAAACTGCCTTTTTGGACAGCGGAAGACACTTGGACACTTGCTTCTTCACCCAAGACCGCCATGATTACTCCAACCGGTTCAACATCGTTATCCATCACTCGACACGGCACCACAAGAACGTTACCAACCAATTGAACATCAAAAGCCACAGCTCCAGTAACTGTATTGGATATAACACGTTGAGTTCCATTGTATCCAAGTGTGTAACCCTTTCGGTCCAAGATTCCATACGAAATTAAATTATGCTTCACACCCTCAGCAAAGTATACATCTGTAAGAGTCAGCACACGCTCAACTCCACAAGCCAAGACGTTAATTGTCACAGTGCCTCTTTTGCTTATAAGAAGCGGCTGTCCATCGGGTTGATGACAAACCCCTTCACACGGCTCAACGTTGTGAAGCCACGACTCATCACTGACCAAGTGTCTACTGGATCCGCTATCCAAGATCCAGACATCGTCTTGTTGACTTGAGACTTCATTCACAGCAAGCGACAAATTTGTTTGAGGTCCTTGTGGTCGCTTGCGTTTCGGACACGCTCCCTGCAAATGTCCAACTTCGTGACAAAAGTGACATCTACGCGTTTCCTTGCGTTGTCGATCGGAAACAGAATTAACGACTTCTCTTGTGCTCACTTTTTCTCGCCCGAGAGTTCTTTCTCTCCCAGTGTGTAACTCATACGCTTGCGCAAAGTGAGCGAGCTGTTCTGCTTGTACCAGGTAGTCCGTTCTCGTGTGATCAACTTTTGCCAGTAAAATTGTTCGCATAGCCTCAGAGGCGTATTGCACAATATTGTCCAGAACCAAATAATCACCACCGTTTCCACAAACTTCGGAAATTGCCGCCAAATACATGTAATGTTCTGGCCAACTTCGGTTCGGGTTCTTACGTTGCGTAAAAAGTTTCATCGCTTGGACCGGTGTTATACTTGTCTTGAATGCTTCAAGCATTTTCTCCATTACGTACTGCAAAGTGGGTAATTGACTCCACCACATCGCAACTTGTCTGTTATAGTATCTCTCTGCAGTCCCAGAGAGATACAAACCAAGCAAATCCACTTTCACATCTTCAGGCCATTCAAATCCACAAGATGACTGCGCCAAAGAAATTTGTCGCTCGAATCTCCGACCCCACTCCAAGAATCCAGAACCAAGTCCTTCATACAGTTCGCTTCCATCAAACGGCCGAATGCCGAGCTTCTTTTGCCTTGCATCAGGATATCGCACTTGAAGTATATTTCCTTGTGCATGACCGTATCCATTTAAGTCGGGATGTTGCATGTACCCATGTCCTCCAGCTTGGGGCAACATATCAGGAATTCCAAGTCCTGGTGCAACTTGACCGCGAACGTCCTGGCTGGGTTCATTATATTCGGGCTGTCCAGCGCCAAACGACATCTGCCCTTCAACCGGTCTCCTCGGAGTAAATACCGGCGCATCATTGGACCCTTCCAAGTTGTCCATGTGCATTCTTGTTCCACTTCCCAAAGCCGAAACAAACAAACTTGAATGTCTAGGCGGAGTCATAGGCGCGTCCCTATGTCTTCCACGCCCTTCCTCAGCTTTTATCAACCTTGTCTGCGACTCCTCTAGCCTATCCAGACGTTCGATTATCCCTTTCATCAGCACCAGGAGCTCTGACGCGTCGTCACTCCTGGTGACAGCATTGTCCACCGCATGGACAACACCTTGCTTGCTCTTCTCTTCATAATCTTCATGCTCACTGACCCTTTCGTGACCAGTGGCAGGGGCTGCTTCCGCATACGCGCCGTCGCGCGTGTCACCCCTGAGTGCCCCGTGCTTTGGGCTCATAACCTGTTAGAAGTCAATACACAAAGGTAGAGACAGAGGACACACAATTAAATGCAAAAGAGAGAGTGTTATTAGTTTTGTTATCTCCTGGCTAGCTATCAAATCCTTTCTGCAGAAGAAATCATAAAATGAAACTCCCACAGTTGCTCGGCGCAAAGATGATATCAAAAGTGATACTGGTACCACTTTCTTGGTACATCAACTTGAAGCTTGCCTTTCAACACAGACGAATCGTCAACCTGAAAGGGATTAAGATCAAGCGAGAAACATTAAGATTATGGCATCTTCTCGACAACAAGGAATCTCACCACCCAGTTTGAAGGCATGGAACCTTTTCAGACACCTGAAGGAAGCGTAGGGTTATCGCATACAGAGGGCTCCATATACTCATACGAAAATGACGCAACTCATTGCAACCTTGCAACAAGAAGCTCGCGAGTTGAGAGCATAAGCTCAAGCATCGAGGCAAAAACCGAATCGAATTGGACAATGCACACCGATTACCGGCGACATCGTCTGCAGCATACCTCCCAGTTGGTGCACCTAAGTTGAAGGACTTCAAGATCATTAAGTTCACCCGGAAAGAGCAACGCTCAGGACTTGGAGCAGACTAGGACTCGTTCAATTACCAATTTGATGTGCAGATACATACGCTCGAGACCTCCGATCTCGTAGTGTGGAATGAAGAGCATAGACTGAGCGCTATGGCGATGTGCTTTCGCGGTGCAGCCTTTGGACATTTTAGGCATCTCAAGGATTGAGGACTTACCGCCAACTACGACAGTGTACGCAGGTCCATTAAGAACCAGTTTTGCTGCAAGCTGATCCAGTCACAACTGAGAAAGCTACTTGAAGCACTCATGATAACCAACGCGACGTGAACATCTCATGTCAAGTAAATGAGAGCTGTGGAGAGCCGTATGGATGGAACCGAGCAAGACTATCCTTAAATACTTCTGCTCATACTACAGTCCATCAGAGGAGAGAAGCTTGCTGGCGAAGATTGATCAAGACAGATTGGAGTACAGGATCGAGATCAATAAAGCTACACGATATCTGACATCCATCACAGGAAACGGAAAGGGATTCGTCTGTACTCCAAAAGGAGCGACGAATTTGTATGCTCGTGCTGAAAGAGACAAGCCGAAGTTTGAGAAGATTAAGCGGAAGTCAAGGCATGAATCTGGTGATGCGTTCAGCGCAGAAGGATCCAAGAAGTTTTGTAAGCGTGCCTGTTTCTTTTTGAGGGTCACATTGCTACAACATGCCCACTCAAAAAGGAGTTTCTGAAGAAGAAGAAAAGTTCAAAAGGTTCAGCTAAAGTGGTAGAGAAATCTCTCGAGATTCACAAGACGGAGGAGAAGGACAATCAGTACGTATCATGCTGGGCGGCATTCAGATCCAGTAAGGATGAAAGAGAATGGTTGATGAACTCAGAAGCTGTTCGCCACATATGCGGTAATGAATTTGCGTTGCAAAACGAGTACGCATGCAATCTGTCCGTGGATATTGCAGACAGTCGCACAATCCAATCTTTCACGTGTGTCCACATCGTGATAGAGATTGGTGTCATCAAAAATTATGATGCAGTTCTGTTTCAAGACGTGCACGTAATTTTATGGCTGCGCAACAACCTACTATCGATTGGTCAACTTGCAAAGAAAAGTATTTAAATCTCATTTTACTGACCAAGGAGCGTCACTGTAGAATCTCGATGACATGGGAGTCAAATTTATTGCTGGCTGTGAGACATGGGACAATGGGCTTTGCTATATTAATGGGCATGCACTCGCATCGGCTCTTGGGAGTGTCGTGGCTAAATTTGATGAGAGCATCATGGAATGGCATGCTAGACTCGACCATGCCAACGTTGAGGATGTGGCGATGATCAAGGATCATGACTTGGCTGATGGTTTACACATCACTGAAATTAAGCAAAGTAACTGTGCTGCGAGGGGAACAAACAAGAAGAGCTAAAGTGCAAGCAGACACTTCCATATCAGCACCAACGGACGAGATTGGCGCCATAATTGGAGTTGATATCAGGACAAGAAGTCAAGCCGCAAGATTACAGAGGCTGTACTCACTCTTTTCATGTCTTAGACTACGCTCGTAGCTATGGAGAAGTCTTTCCAATGCGTGTTAAGTCCAACTGGTTTCCGTTACTGACTGAATTAATTACAAGATTCCAGCGACAAAATGACGTGCGAGTGAAGATCATAAGGAGCGACAATGAATTTGACACAAACAAGATAAGATCGTGGTGTGCGAACCGCGGTATCCTACGGCAACTAACGGAACTAGACGAAACTACTAATAAGGAAAGTTGAAGAGACGCCACAAGACTTTTTTTGACGGCATGCGGGCCATAACGTTTGATGCATTCTAGGCTCCTCGCTTCCTATATTTGGAAGTACTACAACATCAGTCATGTCTAATTAACCAACTCCCGACACGTGCAAATGGTTGAAGCAAGTCGCTTATTGAAACCTCACTGGACACAAGCCCAACCTTAATCGCATATTAAATTGAGGACGAAGGGTCACGGTTCATGTCAAGAGTGAAACATGGGTACGCAAAAGATCTGTGAGCACCGAAAACCATCGGATATGATAATCAGGTGAAAAGTTGTCGCGTGTACATCAAAATAACTAAGAAGATATTGGTAT